CTCTTTAAAAGAAGCACTAGAGAAAGCACACCTTGTAGCCTGGTGAGGGAAGCCGATGCTACGGTCAACCCTGGTTCTGCAACAAGGCGAACAAACTTAAACACAACAGCTCAAAGAACAAGGGACTCTATCCTTAGAAACATCCCTTCAGCTCAAGAAATGGAGGAATTTTTCACCTTTGCCGAGCAGCAACAACAGCGCCTTTTCATGGAGAAGTATGTAGTATTCAATTCCACGGATACTGTCATCTTTAAACACATTTTACTGTCGTGTATGTTGAACTAATGTGAAAATTTTGTTTTTTCATCAATAGGTACAACTTTGATGTGGTAAACGATTTACCGCTTCCAGGGCGGTACGAATGGATTAGGGTGGATTACTGATCTGGAGAAAGCCATCTGTTTTCCCTAATTTGCTGTGAAGGAGAAATTTGAAAAGGGGGCATGAAGTTGGTGGATATTTTATGGTCTCTCTCCCCCAACCAAAAATTGTTGTATAAAGAGAGTTAGTGTAGTTTTAGTTGTCTGTCAGATGGTAGAATTACACATGACTACTAACAATTTGGAAGCAGTAGTGTAGAATAGGGCATAAATTGTCAACTTAGGCTTTGACTATCTTTGTAACTTGCAAGGTGTGACATAGCCAACACCTTATGTACCATCTGTTTTTTCAATCAATTTAGGATTTAGTTGATAATAGTTGCAGCATGTGACATCAAAGGTTTGTGGTCTACTTTTTCCCTGCAGTCAATTCTATGGTTATAAAATCTTGCCCTTTAATTCACAAAGACAAATGTTTTAACTCTTTCTGAAAGACTTGTGTGTATTCGACAAAATTGTTTTCAGTAAGGATCTAAATAAGAATCTCAATTTTGTACTGTCTGGAACTGTACCATTGTTGTATTTGAAATTTCATTAGCAAAGTTGGACTTAAACCTATACCTCTTCACCATACTACATTGAGCTGCTGTGTAATATGAGGATAGTCTTATTACTTATATTGAATCCAAAGAACCAAAGCTCCATTTGGATTGTGGCGTGGTTGGAGCAAGGGATACCCATTCATTCCTAGATTCCCGTCACTACGGATTGATTGTCCCTACCAAGCTACACGGTAGTGGTCTAGTGAGCGCAATTGCTAGAGCACGGGAGAATTAAGAGTAATGATTTCAGCAAGAGCAGCCAGACAGACTACTATAGTAAATCTAGTGACTACTAGAATAGAGTTAAGTCAAAAGGTATGGTATAGCAGTCTTTCCGAGCGAGCCTCTGAGATCTCCTGTAAACCCCCATGATATGGTAAAGAGCAAAGTCAAGATTTTCATTTATCACCAATGGGCAGAGTGAGGAGGAATTAGTTGGGCTTGCTATTATATCCCAGGAGTACTATGGATTTAAGACAGCTAAGGATTGATTCTAATGGGGATTGATCATTTCATGGGAGGCCCTATGCTAAGTGATTTTCACATGTGATGTTTCGAAAGCATAAATACAACAGCAACGAGAAGCCTAGTATAATCCCATGAAATGGGTCTCGAGAGGGCAGTGTGTACGCAGACCTTACTCCTACCTTGAAATGTTATTTTCCGGAAAACCCTCGGCCCAAGGAAAGATAAAAAGGAAAACGTAAGCTGCCTATATCTTTCCCTGAATGCGCATCAACAGTGTTTAAGCTGCAGATGCTGGGGTTCCTTGCTCTCTGATGATAAAGCATGAAATATTTGGATAGCATGGATATAACATAATTTTATTTTTCAAGTGTAATTTATCCATACAAACAGTGAAATATAAGTAATCCAATTGGGACCAGTATAATTGGGTTTTTCTGTCTTCAGGGTTTCCTACTCCTTGGTTTAGTCAGAACTATCAATGTCAAGTGGCAATGGAGTTTGTGTGGTGGTGGGGGTAGGTTTTTTTGCCATTATTATTATTATTATTATTATGAATTCGTATATTGTATTGTCCTGTTTTTCTGAAGCTGCCCAGCTAGTAATAATAATATCATTCACAGGTGTGCATTTAATAATACTCCCTTCGATCCAAAATAAGTAATTTTTTTGATGTTTTCACACAGATTAAGAAACCTCCGATCCAAAATAAGTGATTTTTTGGATGTTTTCACACAGATTAAGAAATTCACTTTTTAGCATTAATTAGCAATGGAATTGACCATATTAACCTTTACTATCTCACATAAACACTCCTAACACATATTCCAACACTATTTACTCCAAGGACAATGTAGGAAAAAAAATAATTAATTCATTCTTGAAATCTGAAAAAATCACTTATTTTGAACTACAAGAAAAAGGCCATAAAATCACTTATTTTGGACCGGATGGAGTAACGTGTGTGAAGTCACAAATACTCCCCTCGCGTTTGTTTGTTTGCTCCCTCACATGCAACATTGTACCCTTTCTGCTTTTTCTTACCAATTTGTATGACAACTGATGATCAGATTGAATGGTTTCCACTTCTCTCATGTTTGTACTTTCAACTTAATTTAATTTGAGTTTGTAGATTTATGTCAATTCTTGAACATAATACAAAGTAAATTTTAATTTGGGACAAGAGCAGATATCGCTATGTAGTGCACGAATGTGCATAATTTGGACACAAACCAGCGCTTTGCAACAACTTGATTTAGGTGAATGCTATACTTGGCAAATTTGTGCTTTCATTCCATAGGTTCTCAAAAGCAAAGAAACAAAGCACTTCAAAGAGTACTTGAGATTAGGGGTGTACATGGACCGGGTTGGTTCGGTTTCTATCAAAACCAAACCAAACCAATTATATCGGTTTGGATTGGTTCGGTTTTGTCGGGTTTTTCGAGTTTTCGGGTTTTTTTGTTACATGAATATTATTTCAATCTTACGTTATTAAAATTATAGATAAAGCTTTGATAAGTGAATATATGTTTAGTAAATATGGAAAAAATTGACAAACATATGATCTATTAAAATATTCTAATGGGAGAAATTTTTAGTAACACATGATAGTTATTTTCTTAGTCGTCTAACAATAATTTTTCGTTAATTTGCGCTTTCAAGGTTAATACATGAGGGGATTCCAAATATTTCTACATTTTCTAAAGAAAAATCACTACAAAGTCTTAAAAATATAAATAAAATTTATATATTTATATGTCGGTTTGGTTAAGGTTTTTTTACTCAATACCAAACCAAGTCAAACCAAACCTAGTCGGGTTTTTTGATCGGTTTGGTTTGATTTTTCGATTTGGTGCGGTTTTCCGGTTCGGTTTGAACATCCCTACTTGAGATGCCTGAGCCACTTTGATGCAATACATGGCAAGTTTTAAAGTGCATCAAAATGCATAGTAATTGTGTAGGCGAAATTCAGGATTTAAACTGTACGAGTTAAATATTTAAGGTTTTTATTATTTAACCTATTATAATTTTAAAGTTATGAGTTCATATTTAGTATTTGTTGTAATTTTAGTGAATTTTTACATGCTTCACATCAAAAGCAATGGGTTCAGATGAAGCCAGTAACAATAAACTACATCTGCCCCTGGGTATTACCTTTTGAAGTTGAATGCTTGGGAGTTTATCATAAAAAATATTTTCGTGCATACTTAGATCACTTAAAGGTAATTATAATTACATCTTTATCACAAGTATTAATCTACAACATGATTTTATGGTAGCTAACTCGCTAGTAAGTTGCCCTTTATCTCTAAGGCCATTTACTGAACCAACAAAAAACTTGGAAAATAATAATTATTGCCTCATAGTAGTTTTTTAAAGTGACACTTATTTGGGACCAAATTAATTTGTGTAAATTCTGAGAGAGAATGATGATGATTCCATAATTCATTGAATGAAGTAGGGTAGTGGAGTGAGTTGTAAAGCTTAAAAAATAGCGTACGACGTATAGTGTTAAAGATAAAAGAGCAACACAGGATTGACATCTTCCTCAACGGAACTTTTGTCATTGTTTTCAGTGAGAGAGAGTCAGTTAATGAACTGTTCATTGGTCACTTGTTGGATCACTTTACTCTTCCCATACTTTACATTCAACTTTGTGTTCGAGGGAGAAACTCCTTCCCCTTAAACATGTATAGTCGAATAGTTTGAAATCATTTTAGTCATATCTATGAGTTTGAATATCAAATGTCTTAAAGCAAAAAAGAGTAGTAAATCCTTCTTATAATGTTAGATTATTTTTCTAAGTTGGGGCTAGACTTTTGTTTTATTGCAAGCTGCCTTGGGAGTTGATAATCCAAGTTCCTCCACTGTAGTCCGTAGACAATACTTAGGGCTCGTTTGGTAGGGTGCATAAAAATAATGCTGAATAGGGTGTATTAGTAATTATGCTTGCATTACTTATGCTTGCATATTTCTTATCCATTGTTTGGTTTGATGTATTAAAGCATTGCACAATTCCTAAAAGAATTGCTTGTTTACAAACTTGTTTATAAAAAAAATATATTCTAAGTATTTATTTATTTACTAGAGATATAATTTTATTTCTCACTATTTGGATTATTTTAAACTTGCATTAATATAATAAGTAGCATATTTTAATCAAGCATAAATTTTGAAGGACAATTTTGTCTTTAACTAAGCTAATGCATGCATTAAAACCCATTGTATTGATAATACTATGATTTTCTATGCATTAGTTATGCATAGGATAATACCAAATAGGATGTATAACTAATGCATAGGTTCAAAATGTCTACCAAACAAGGTAATATTAATACACAAAGCTAATGCTACCAAACGACCCCTTATTGTTAAAAGTTATGTAAATCTTTTCAAGGAAAATTGCCTAAAAATGCTCAACCATTTGTTTTCTAACGTATCATAGTTTGTTCAGCTGTATTTTAACATGAAACGAGTCGGAGACTAAACAAGAACCTAACAAAATTTCCTCAAATATTCCTCTTCGGCGAGTTTGATACATGAAAACAACCGATAATTTGTAATTTTCAGACAAATCAACTATTCAAATCAATTGGCACTCTGGTGTTAGACACACGAAAGAAAATCATTTCTTCAGTGGATTAACCCAACAATCTCGAGAAGAAATACTTTACAAAAGATGAGAATTCAACACATAGCAATGACAGAGAGACATTTGATGGGCAATCTCATAATATTTGACATCATCAAGCTAGTTACCATGAATAAATTGAGGTCAGCCGGGAACTAAAGCTTTCCAAGCAGTTACATTAATATGACTTACACTTAACCAACATAAGAAGCAGAAAATGTAATTTAACCAACCTACATTAATCCTAAGATCTACTCAATGGAAAGTCTCATCTTCTGAGCATTTACAGATCTATAATAACTTGCACAGATTGTCAGCAGTCAGCAGTCAGCAGCATCTGCCAAGGACATAAGAGTACCATAACATCTAAATAATAAAAGACAACAAAAGCCATGTTGGTTGGTAAAAGTTCGGAGTTCAAATAAATGAAGAGATAATAAATGATAAATGCTCCTTTGAGTTCTGGAGAAACCCGACACGACGACACTCAATTTGTTGCTCTACAGACACAGTGGCGAAGTCAAAAATGTTTCCAAGGGTGTTCAAACTTGAAAGAACTAAAATATAATTCTCGCTAAGGGTGTTCAATATGTATTTTATACATCTAAAATCAGTATTATACTTATACACACAATGTGTTTTTTCGTAATATTTTGGCGAATGGTGGTCAGTTGACCACCTGTTATAAAAGGTGGCTTCGCCCCTGTACAGACATATCTTCACAAGTATCTTGTTAAACTCTAGCTAGCCGAAACTCAACGAAGTGCTTGAGGAATATCAAATGTAAATATTTCTAATAAGTGAGATGAGGTGCATTTGTATATATATGTAAATCCGCACTGGATCAATCAACTTCTCATTTGATGGTTCTTAATATACTAAGCTCAACAGTGGCTTAGAATCTTCTAATGTCCATTTGATATGCTCTAGTGTGGCTGGAAAGGGAGAAGATTGTCTTAAAAAAATTAGCAGTAGATTATACAAGCAGCATGTTGCTCAGTTCCGAGTTCTTGCTCCACGAATAGGACAGGATTACTAGAGATGCTATATTCCAGTTCAGAGTACAATTTCTTCTTGCCAGGTTATCAGGAATAGAGTCAAGGAGGAGATTTATGTTTTACCATTTGACTGAATACTTACTTTAGCAAAATGACATGCATCTTCTTGTACTACCCTCAATATCCCTCAACCGTCTCTCTCACACACACACACATTTAGGTAAAACAAGCTGGCTTTCCCCACATATCTTATGCTGATAGCAGCATGATCAGGCTTAATAAAATGGCGGTTTCCCTTACTCGCCATCAGAGTTATGAAATGATTAACTCCGAACAAGTGCATAGATAATATGGAACTTAGATCTTCTGTGTTCAAGACCCTAATATAAATATCATTACGAGCACATGCCAGCAGTATATCAAGAGGATATATAGAGACCGATTGACTTCTTTTTTCTTGTTAAGGTATTACAACCTTCTTATTGATACTATTTCGAACAAAGAAAAGATCAAGAACTAATAGTTATCCATCTAATTTTGATGGATAACACAACATAATTATCTATTATAGGTTTTCAATGAATATGTGTCTACCTCAACATTGGGCATTTAGTTGTCTCCCTTATAAATACTAACTTCAGAGACAAAAGAGGAATTGTTGGTAAGGCAAAGCCATGTATGTCCAGGGTGTTTGGATAAGCTTATAAGCTGGTCAAACTAGCTCATACGTACTTTCTACTTATTTATGCATTTGGTGAATACCAAAAGTGCTTATAAGTTATAACCAAGTGTTTATAAGACAAAATAAATAAAAAGCCATAAGTTGGTTACACCCAACTTATGCTTTTTCAGCTTATAAGCACTTTTGGTTAGTTCAAAAGTTCTATTATTTTCTGCACCCAAAGGTGTGGCCTAGTGGTCAATGAAGAGGGTTAGAACCATAAGGTCACGGGTTCAAATTCCAGCGGAGGCAAAAAATACTAGGTGATTTCTTCCCATCTATCCAAGCACCAAGGCTTGAGTTACTTGATACCTGTTGTTGGTGGAAAGTGGCAGGTATCCCACGGAATTAGTTGAGGTGCGCGCAAGCTGGCCCGAACACCATAGTTAACAAAATATATATATATATATATACTGCTGAGAAACCAAAAGTTCTATTATTTTATCCCTAATAATTTAGTAATTCCTGAAATGCCCTTCCAGAACAAAACAGCTAACCTGCTCTCCATTCCATGTTTGTCGTTTGCCTTTCTCCATGTAAACATACTTTTAAATTTATATTTATGACAACTTTAAGGGTATTTCGGTCATCTAAATGTAAAAGTGCTTATCAACTTATTTACAAAATCAACTTTAGGAATTGTGCTTATCCCTTAATTTCAATCAGTTAAGCAAAAAGGGCTCATAAACAACAAACCAACCCCATCCATGGCAAATTTTCACATCCTTTCTACAAATCTTAATGAACATCGGATTCTGCCTCTCGTGGCATATCGGGCCAGTGGTTTCTTCTATCTCTCAGTCTTTTACATGATAATTTGAGAATTTAGATGTCGCGGTACATTAGGTATACATGGCACTGCTTCAGCCACCTTTCACATGTCCACTATAATCTAAAGGTCACTGTGAAACACTTCCCTTACTCCAACTGATATTTGAGACAATTTATATGAAGAAATATCATCTAACCTGACAGGTTGAAGGAGAAGCAAATCTTGGCAATCCAAAAGCAAATGGAATCAGGCAATTGCAGTCAAAATCAGCGACATAGTAAAAAAACTTAAAGTAAGAAATCACATTGTAAAAATATCTTCTGATCTTTCACGGTGTCCATAGATTTTTAAATTACGACAATGAGACTTTTTTTCATTATCACATCTAAATTGTGCTAGCAGCTTCCATTTTCGAACATTCAATCACATGTTTCAGATATTATGTTTCCATTTTCCACCATATACCCTACATTGCCTTAAATACTCATGCCAGGGACACGAGCTCACTTACTTCCCATTTTTTAAGGGGAGCTTTGGCGCAATGGTAAAAGTTGCCACAGTGTGACTAGGAGGTCACGAGTTCAAGCCGTGGAACCAGTCTCTTGCAAAAATGCAAGGTAAGGCTGCCAGACCCAATGTGGTCCAGCCCTTCTTCCCCTCCCTCACGCGCGCATAGCGGGAGCTCAGTGCACCGAGCTGCCCTTTTTTGCCTTGATAATATCAGATATTCTGTTTCACTTTCCATTTTCCAACTATATTCCCTACATTGCCTTAGATACTCATGCTAGGGGCACGAGCAAACTTGCTTCCCATTCTCGAATATCTGCCATTGCAAATTACAACATTTCTATTTCATTCACCATCTTTCAACTATATTTCCCACATTGCCTTGCATACTCGTGCCGGAGACACGTGCACACTTAAGAACTACTCTTATGTCGGAATTGCTCAGTTGCATTAAATAGGTTATATGGTGAAGTTAAGATAAATGAATGGCAGTGGTGCTTTTTAATCAAATCTCTGCATGAACTTGCTCAATGGATTTAATAACAAACAGCTTGATTTAGTAGCAGATTAGTACCAGCAGGTACAGCAAAAGCGATCAAGTGACACGTCAGTATTTGAAATGTTTTCTCCCTTTTCTTGATGTCCATGCATTTCCAATTTCAACAATCAGTTTCATTTTCCATTTTCATCTATAATTTTGCTTGACTTCCAGTTTTTTTATTAACATAAATCAGAATGTTCAGATATTCTGTTTTAGTTTCTTTACATTGCCTTCAATACACATGCCAGGAACGGGAAGGCACACTTGACAGTTGCGCATAGAAGGGGCACTTTTCTTGCACTGATGGTTTTAAGGTGGAATTGAGAAAAACATGAAAGTGTTTGCTGCATGAAATTTGAGCATGAACTTGCTTGCTTAACAAATAGGTTGATTCAGGATCAGAAGAAATGAATGCATACCTGATAACTAATAATATATCCAAGGGAGATACTAATTGTGCTCCTCAGAAGTTGTAGGTGATACATCTGTTGTTTGCTTCGCTTCAGACATCTCAACTTCGCATGCAGAAACATCTGGTGCATTTTCATTTTCCTTTCTTATCTGTTTCAGCGTATCTAATTGTATAGCACGTAACTCATATCTGATCATCAAAATTAATTGAACTTTTATCTTCTCTGGGTAAGAAGCACAAGCACAACAGTATTAGCAAAGTTAGTACACGGCACTTACCTGGCAATATAACCCTTAACAAGTGCAAAATATATCGTCCAAAACTGGTGCTCCTTCAAATAACGTGGACATAATTTGAATCTCAGTTGTGAGAGTTCCTGAAGGAAGCAATCACGAAATAAATTTAAGAAACCAAATTAACAGAGAAGCTGCCACAACTAAATGCCAACTGATAAAGCTGGTGCAGGTCTCTAAACCCAATATAGTCAAATCCACAGAAATAATATCTTTTTATCTTCTGAAAATGCATGAACCTAAAGTAAGCTCACAGTAGAAAACTACCCAGAGAAGAATTAATGTACTGGTGTGTAACAGGAAGTAGGAAAAGAATGGATGCGAGCTGATGAAACTAACACATGTCTCTCAGATATAGCCATCAACCAATATGAACAGGCATATAATAATCAGACTCCACACAGGATACTGCTTAGGGGAAGGACTGCAGGATCACCAATACTACGCAACAAAAGGACGAAAAAAAGTCACTAATCTTCTTTTTCTTCATACGTTGGTTCTTAATGAGAACACATAGTTGTCAACTTCACATGTCACTAGTTTATCAAGTTGTGAAATGCTGCTAGCCTAGTAGATTGGTGTTAGGATCTTCTGGGGTGATGACTGAATCCCGTCTACATCAACCGATCTAAGAGAGAAGGTCTGATAAGGCCAAAATACATGCTCGGTGTTAAGAGCTGGACATTGGGCTTAACTCAACCCCAAAACTTAACTCAGGTGGGGAAGAATGCCTAAAGCCACATAAAGAGACTAAACCTATAAACTTAACCAAAGTGAGAGTCTAATACCCCTTGGCACGCTCAGTAGTGGACATCTGAAGGGTGTAATGACGTAACATAGTTGGCCTAACATTGGGTATCCCTACATCAGGTAGGGGTCTGGTCTGATATCACGTTAAGAAATGGACATCAGGCCTAATGTAACCTCAAAAACTATCTCAACTGATTAATATTGTTCAAAACCATATAAAGAGAGAACAACTCATACACCTAACCCTTTCACTTGGAAAATTGGGGCTTTTGACCTACTAAAATTATTTGTAGTCTGCATCCACTACCTAGTAAATTTCTAGATCCCAAAGAAAATTGACGTAATGTAATTATAAAAACCTGGCATGAGATATTTAGTCTAGTCACTGTAGCAAGCAAAATAAACTGATACCAGGTCAAGGTTCTTTGTATTGTCTCATGCTACAGTATAAAAACTAAACCATTTTTTTTAATAAGGTAAAAAACAAAAGTAAACAATTTTCATAACTGAATACTCTTTTATTTCCCTTTCACATGCTGATCTTCCTTTTTGGTCGATTCCAAAAAGATCGACACATTTTTATGTTTCTTTTTAACATTTGTCATTTTACTCTTAATGATGTACTTATAGGTGTTGGGATGACATGTTGGGAGCCCAACATGATACTAGGAGTACTTTGGTGTGTTGAATACGTTCAGTTAGGGTAACAACTTACCCGCACCGGGGGTCTTTATGCCAAACCAATAGGTGCATGCCATGTGTTTGTAAATAGACTCATCTCACTTAATCATGGTTAGTTAATTCATGTTTCAAATATTAAAATCACTTAACCATGGTAAATTTGTAGAGTTTGGTGTAAACACCCGATGAAAGTAAGTTTTTATCTTTAGTTAATGTACCAATTACCAAAAGTCTTCCTTCCTTTTAACACTATTTCCAGTCAAATATTGTCATATATATATATTTATAAAATGGGGGAAGTAACTGATGACAAAAGTTCCGTTATTTCCCGCTAGGCAGGATGGAGTGGGGCCTCAGAAGCCTTTCACTAACTATGTTTATTACTTTTACTCTTGTTTGTAGAAGGAGTTTGTCCACATCAACTTAATTCTTGGTTCTAGTCCTCCAAACCAATTTTTTTTGATATGGTAGTCCTCCAAACCACTTAGAACCTAGAATAATGCACTAGCAGGTATATGTATGTATGTGTGTGTGTGTATTTACATTGAATTGCATATTTACATAGTCAGGCATAAGTGCCTCTTGAAATCAACCAGAAATCACGAATTCGAAAAGTTAGTTATAGCAAGAGAGTCAATTCAACAAGCTCAAAGGATGAAACATATAGACAAGTAATACGACAGGTAGTTTTACAAGTCCATAGGAGGCGTAGCAAAGGAAAAACCTTGACTTTAACTCATGAGCAGTGTTATCAAATGCGAAAAATGCAAAAAAACTCTAAGGTCGGTTGGGGCTTTAAGCGCAAATCGTGCAATAAAATGTGGGCTTTAATGAAAAAAGGCGCAAATGGAGAAAAACTATAAAGATGTATGTGTAGTCCAAGACTAATATCTATAAGCATAAATACCAAATACATGGACAAAGAAATTGAAGAAAATTTTACGATAAAGTGAAATATCAATTGTTTAGTGTCGCCTCTTCAGATTACGTTAATTGTTAAGGAAAAGTATGTCTAGAGCTTGATGACAACACTGAAGCGCACGCTAGGCGAGGCAAAGTGCTCAACATGTTTTGAGCCTCGCTTCAGGGCTTAAGCGCGCCTTTGATAACACTGCTCATGAGATTAGATGCATTTCATGTATGAGTTATCCGTGACTTATTTCCTGTTGGAACCTGTACTCTGTTCCTTTTTGATCTTCTATGCATCTAATCTACTATCCAATCACAAGCAACTGGATTACAACATTCAAAATATACTTCCTAAATCTTTCTTTAACACAGCTTTTAAGAACCTAAGGGGAAGAGGAAGTAAAAGAGTTGGAGAAAAGGAAAGACCTTGAGTTTGGAAAGAACAAGCAAAGCATGACGTTGTCGCCAATCTGATAGATCTTTCCGTACATTATCTCCACCGCCGTCGTTGTTACCATCCTCCTCATCTAACAACCAAAACCTTTTACAATATTCAGACATAACATACAAGGGCATGTAAGCTAAATATGTTAATCTCCACATACGGAAAATGTCAATAAATACTTATCAATTCTAAACTACTATGACCATATCAATCCTTTATATAATAACAATTTCATTAAAAAGAACGGAAAACCAAAAATAGAAAAAAGAAAAGGAACCTGGGAGAGAGAAGTTGCGAAAGGTGTCAATGGAGAAGGATTTGATAAAATCGAGTAATTGGTCAGTGACGCCGTAGAGTAGTTCGTCCTCCTTAAAGTTAGGTTGAGCACTAACAGTGGTGGTGGTCGTAGTAGTAGTTCTAGATAGACTTCGTCGGAACCACGAATACACATCCATGAATCAAAATCACAATCGCAATCCCACTTTCTTCCCTTGCTGAAAATTCTTTGTTTCTTGATTCAAATTTTGGAAGATGAGATCCTCAAGAGGAAACTGAGAATAGAAGAATCCTAAATTGTTAAAGGAGGTTTTCACTCAGTTACTCATATAGTCCACAAGTTTGGAAGTATGTCAATTTCATCTTTAATAATGAAATCTTAAGCAAAAGTGTGCCTACCATTTTTTGGGTTAAGATATCATGGTATAGCCAGTTTTCACACTGATCAATGAAAAATAGCCGGCGTTTATCAAGTTAATGAAAAATAGCTACTATTTTGCTGTAACAGGGACCGGTCCAGTATAATATACGGGAGTTCTGGTGCAATTGTGTACGAACTCCAGCATATTATGCTGGACCGATATACTTTGCTAACTCCTGTAAAATTTGCGGGAGACTGGAGCACCAGTGCTCCAAATTCCAGTATATTATACTGGACAATTATACTTGCTGGAACTCCCGTAAAATTTGCGGGAGTTCCAGCATAATTATGCTTGAACTCCCGTAAAATTTGCGGGAGTTCCAGCATAGTTATCCTGGAACTCCCGTAAAATTTACGGGAGTTCAAGCATACTTATGCTGGAACTCCCGTAAAATTTGCGGGCGTATTTTTTCGGATTTTGAACAGTGTTTTCGCTCAGATTTAAAGTGGCTAAATTTCGATGACTTTTGAAACTTGGCTATTTTTCAACGACCAGTGGTAAATCTGGCTATTTTTGAATTTCTCCCATTTTTTGGTCTAAACTAAAGTAATAGGCCTCCAATAGTCCGGTTTTATTAAAAGTTAACAAAATTGGTCTAGTAGGATCCTTTTGAATTTGAGATTGGCCTATTTTTGCCCTTTGTTATATGATGTTGCAGAAATAGGAGTAACCAATTAAGTTTATGAATCACGAATGCTTTTTGTCTAGTCTGAAAAAATTTCTAATAAAACTCATTAGGCATAATACATAAATAGGTCCTCAAACTTGGCCTCAGCTGACAAGTATGTCCTTCAACTTTGGGTGTACACAAGTAGACACCTCAACTTGAATAAAGTTGAACACGTAAACACAAAATACTCACGTGGCACATAAATTTTGGAGGTATCCAGATGATCATTTTGTAAGTTGGAGTGTTCAACTAACAAATAGAGACAAGTTGACGTGCCTACTTATGCACACCCAAAATTAGGGCGCATACTTGCCAACTGAAGCCAAGTTTGAGGGTTTGTTTATGTAAACATCAACTTAAAAATTAAAGGCCATAAGAGGTGCATTTCGCTATAGTAGTTATTATCAAGAGCAATGGCGGAGCAACTCTTTACTAAGGTTTATTAAGGTAAAATTAATTCTTACTTTTGTCTGATATAGTTTCTCATTGCAATTGAATAATGCTGAGCTGAGCACGTGTATGTTTTGATGATTAACTAATCAGAATCGATTGCATTAAAAGTATCAGGTTTCATGGACAGGTTATCATGTGGGATCGATTCCTATAGCTTGTATTGATTATATTAAGTTGTTTGTGATTATATTCGAGTCGTTCAGAGATCGATTCACGAGGCAAGGGTTTGTTGGAGCATTGGGTTGCAGGTCTTGAGGTAACTAATACTTTTAAACTTGAAACTGATGGTATAAATCCCTGGATAACATATTATATGGTTTGTGTTGGGGTGTCGTACATGGTAGGTGACGGGCGTGTGGGGGTGCACCATGGTAAGCATGAACCGATTGATTATTTGTACTATGTTGTTATCAAGTCTTGTCCTATCCATGAAAACCTTACTTGTTAGAGTAATTGAACTGTGATTCATACTAGCAATCATGTGTAGGCTATGTGCTTATTCTGTTTAGACCTAGTAAGGTTATTTAAGATATTTTGAGTTATCTGCTTCAACTGCAATTATGTACGCATTCGTGATCCTTCAATTGCATGTCATATCTCAGTCTATATTATCCTTTATCGTTACATCACATGTTATTAATTTTTGGACTGAGTAGTAGGAGATTGTGAGCCCTTAAGACTTGAGAGATTGATGACTGAGGTGGTACTGAGAGCCGGGGTGTGAGTGTTATTGTGGATTGGGCTACACGCCGTAGCAAGCCTTATTGGCTTATTTATTATTGTGGATTGGGCTGTACGCCGCATCAGGCCTTATAGGCTTTATATTAGCGCTTGGACATTATCCGTCCCTTCGGAGTCTGAATTACGCAGTGAGCGTAGGCACAATGATATATACACGTGCTTTGGTGAGGGGCATTGATGCCAAGCACCTGTACAGTGCTGAGTTATTGTGTGTGATGAGTGGGTATTTGAGATAGACATATTGAGTACCCTGAGATTGTGAGTACTTGGGAATATCACTGTGATACCTTTCATTTGACATGTATATTTGACATGTAGGCATAGAGATGTACCGTTCCTCATGCTAGCTTTAATTGATATGCTATTATCAGTGTTGATCTCTAATTGTGAACTTGAAGGCATGACTAATCTCTGTACCATGAACGAGCTGAATATGGAAGTTTCTCTGAGTTATTTACTGTCATTATCATTATCTTACATGCGTCGTCATTATATTAGTTCTGACTGTATCCTTCTGAGCTCGTCACTGCTTTCAGCTCAAGGTTAGTCCTGTTACGTATTGAGTACATTGGGTCAGTTGAACTCATACTACACTCTGCGCTTCGTGTGCAGATCCAGATACATCTGGACGCAGTAATTGCTAGATCGTTGCCAGTACTTGCTTGGAGACTTCAAGGTAGCTGCATTGGCGTCTGCAGACCTTGACTCTCTTTCCTTTATTTTCTTCAGTACTTTTCTATATTTCATACAGTTGTACTAGAGTTTTAGTTTATGTTGATACTTAGTAGTGCTCATGTACTCGTTGACACCAGATTTTGGGATGTTTGTAGTAGCATTTCAATTATTTTTATCAGATTCTTATGAGATATTCCGTTGTTGAGTTCATTGAAAAGTGTCTTATTCAAATATTTTTGTTGTCATGTGATTGTCGGCTTGCCTAGCAAGTGTGTTAGGTGCCATCATGACAGGTTAGGATTTTGGGTCGTGACTTGTTGGTATCAGAGCACTAGGTTACTTAGGTCTCACGAATCATGAACATGTTTAGTAGAGTCTTGCTGATCGGTACAGAGACGTCAGTACTTATCTTTGAGAGGCTACAGAACCATTAGGAAACTCCACTTTCTTGTATTTTTGTCATGCAGAATGCTAATCACGGAATTCTAACTTCTATTCTTTTATTCTCTCACAGATGGTGAGGACATATATGACCGGATCAGGCGGACGACCACCAATACCACCGGCTAGGGTCGCGAGAGGCCGAGGCCATGGTAGAGGCCGAGGTGCGACTCGTACTAAAGTTAGAGAAGCACCTGTAGAGCCACTAGTTTCTCCAGCTAAGCAGCAAGTACCGGATGTTGTGGAGCAGGCGGTGCCAACTCAGGCACCAACTATGCCCATTGTGATCCCAGGCCTTTAGGAGGCCTTATCCCAGATTTTGACTGTGTGCACGAGCCTGGCTCAGGCAGTCTCTGTTCCAGTATTACCAACCACTTCTCAAGGCGGGGGAGGTGCTCAGACTCTTGCCGCCTGTGCTCCAGAGCAGGTAGCTCAGGGACTCCAGACACCGGGGGTACTACCAGCCCAGCCGGTTGTTGCTGCTCGGGCCCATGTTGGCCCACCTATGAGTGATGAGGAGCAGAAGAGTTTGGAGAGGTTTGGGAGGCTTGATCCTCAGAGTTTAGTGGGGCAGAGTCCGAGGATGCTCATGATTTTATAGACAGGTGCCAGCGGATCCTTCGCACAACGGGTATTCTGGAGACTAGTGGAATTTCATTTAGCTGAAATGATCGTGGTGCATCATCTAGCCATGGTTCATATGGTGCTTGTCCGGGTGAATCATCTTTCAGTGCTCTCCTAGCTCAGAGTTCATCCCGTGTTCCGTTAGTTCAGAGTTCGTTAGTACCTAGTTCTTTTAGTGGCTATTTCGGTCTCGGGGTTCGGTTCAGTCCCCGTCACCATTTGCGGATTGAGGTTACTACGAGTGTGGAGAGTTGGGGCAGGTGAGGAGGTATTGTTCCTGTCTCGTGGGAGGTCTAGTTTAGTAGAGAGGTCAGGCTATGAGTTATGCACTAGTTACTTCACCACTATCTCAGCGAGCTCGGGGTGGGAATCAGGCAGTTCGAGGTCACCATAGAGGGGGAGGTCGATCAACTGGTGGTCAGGTTCGATGCTATTCTTTTCCCTCCAGGCCATAGGTAGTTGCTTCAGACGCAGCGATCACAGGTATTGTTTAGTGTGCCACAGGGATGCTTTCATATTATTTGACCCTGGTTCCACTTATTCATATGTATCATCATACTTAGCTCGCTATTTGGATATGCCTCGTGATTCCTTGTTTATGCATGTTCATGTATCTACACCGGTGGGTAATTCTATTATTGTGGACCGTGTGTATCAGACGTGTGTGGTGACTATTGGGGGATTAGAGATGAGAGTTGATCTCTTACAACTTAGTACGATTGATTTTGACGTGATTCTAGGCATGGGTTGGTTGTCACCATATTACACTATTCTGGATTGTCACGCTAAGACCGTGACATTGGCGATGCCGAGATTGCCTAGGGTTGAGTGGAGGAGTTCCCTGGATTATGTTCCTAGTAGAGTGATTTCATACTTGAAGGCTCAATGGATGGTTGAGAAGGGATGTTTGGCATATTTGGCCTTTGTGAGGGATGTTGGTGCTGATACTCCTACCATTGATTCCATTCCGATAGTGCAAGACTTTTCAGATGTGTTTCCTGCAAACCTGCCAGGCATGCCACCCGACAGGGACATTGATTTTGGTATTGACTTGGTGTCGGCACTCAACCCATCTTTATTCCTCCGTATCGCATGGAACCAGTAGAGTTGAAGGAATTGAAGAAACAACTTGAAGAGCTACTTGATAAGGAATTCATTAGGCTTAGTGTGTCGCCTTGGGGGTGCACCGGTTCTTTTTGTAAATAAGAAGGATGGTACTATGCGGATGTGCATTGATTACAGGCAGTTGGACAAAGTTACAATTAAGAACAAGTACCCGCTATCGCGCATTGATGACATATTTGACCAGCTTCAGGGTGCTAGAGTGTT